TGGTTTGCAGTGTGGGAAAAACTAACTTGATGCATGCCTGCAATCATTTCCAAAGACAGAAAAAGATCTAAAGAACTTGTGTTTCTGGTTCAGGATATTTCTAAGCAGAATGTCAAAAGTGGTTTCTTGTAATAGTAATTTGCTGTTGTTGTTGTTTAGTTGCTCAGTTGTGTTCGACTCTTTTCCGACCTGATGGACTGAAGCCCATCAGGCTCCTCTGTCCATAGGATTTCTCAGACAAGAATACTGGAGTGGGTTGCCATTTCCTACTCCAGGGGATCTTCCCGACCCAGGGACTGAACTCATGTCTCCTGCATTGCAGGCGAATTCTTTACCGCTGAGCTATCGGGGAAGCTGCTTTACTAGTACATGGATAAAGTGTTATGAGCTATGGAAGAATCTGCTCAGATTTAAAGCAGTGCTTAGAGAAGCACAGGGGCCTAGGACAAACTTATCAGATTCTCAAAATTAAAAAGAAAAAGTTCAGACAAGGATATACTAAGGTGCTGTAAGTAAAATATAGCCATAGGTAAAAGGGTACCTGTAAAACCCTTTGTAAGTGTTCAGGAAAATTTAAGATAGTGGTTTGCAGGCCCACTGGGCCACACAAAAGGATTCTAAGATTCTTATGAGCCTGACCAAGGGCATCCTATTCACAGCCTGGAGTAGGGAGGATCCTTCTTGAAAGAACTGGTGAGCAACAGTTTTTTTTATGATAGTGAACTATAATTTGATACACAGAAAAAAATCCACAAGTTTTTAAAGTTGCTGCATCAACTTAGGCAAAAGAGGGTTCGGCCCCAACTTTCTGTGACCAGGAGTTGCTGTGTACCTTCCACACTTCCCCCTTTCTGAACAGAGTATCTGTTGAGGTCTACCTGTTCCTGTCTTACCTCTGGGGGCTGAAAGTACATGGGACAGATAACTTGTCTTTTTATCTTCCAGATCTCCAAATTAGGAATTTCTGCACCTCATGTGTATCTGGACCTGGTAAAGATCATCAGCTACTAGATTTTGAGCCTGACGCAACAATGGGATGAGACTGTGGGGGATAAGCTGAGTATATTTTGTTTGTAGGAGGAACGTGAATTGTGACTGGAAAGAGGACTTAAGCACATTTTTTTCAAAGTTGACCATAACAATCCCATCAACCTCCATGTACTTCTGAGGTGTGACTTTGCTGCGCATTTCATGGGGAAGTGGAGCCCATTTATCCTGTCCCTCGACTTGGGCTGGCCCTGTGATTTGCCTTGACCAAAAACAATGCTGTGGAGGTAGCAGTATGTGACTTCCAAGCCTCGGCATTAAGTGGGTTTTGCAGCTTCTGTTTTTTATTCTCTTGGTAGGGAGACGCCATGAAAAAAACTGTGATGGTATTCCCAGACAGACTATACAAAAAGAGAGAGGACCAGCCAGTCCCCATCAGTTCCAGCCATCCTTGCTAAGGCACCAGGCATGTGAAGGAAGTCATCTTGAACTTTTCAGACCCAGAGGAGCCAACCAATTTGACCCCACATGGATCAAGGATAAGCTGTACCTGGTGAACCTTATTCTGATTGCAGAACTCTGAGAAAATAAATGGTTGCATTAAAAAAAAAATTTTTTTAAGCCACTAATTTTGAGGGGTGGTTTGTACACAGCAATAAATGATTAGAGTATGACTTGATCAGTCAATTACTCCAAACTAGTCAATGTGGCTGGGCTTCCTAGGCGGCGCTAGTGGTAAAGAACCCACCTTCCAATGCAGGAGACATCAGAGACATTGGTTTGACCTCTGGGTCAGGAAGATCTCCGGGAGGAAGGCACGACAACCCATTCTAGTATCCTCGTTTGGAGAATCCCATGGACAGAGGAGCCTGGCGAACTACAGTCCATAGGGTCGCAGAGTTGGACACGACTGAAGAGACTTAGCACCAGCCCGTATGGCTGGATAGGATTGTGAGATCATGCAGAAAAACCAAAGCAGTATACCATCCAACGGATAAAGCAGTGGGAATAACCCAATGGCCCTCAGTGCTAGTTCTGGCTCCCTCTTTACCTGCTGTGTGAACTGAGGCAAGTCACTTAGTATCTGTGAACCTACTTTATGGAATAGGGATAATGATTTCTATCTTATGCTACTCTTTTGAGGACTGTATCAAATAACCAAGAAAAGAGCCTGTTTGAAAACTATTGAGAATTATTCGAGAAGAATGAACTCCCCTGTTACAACTGCTAAGTGCGCTCCTACAGAGTCACTTAAGGCACCAGCTTGCCTACTTAAAATAACAGCTCTTCTGTTTACTCTCTTCCCATTGATAGATTTCTGTTAATCAGCTTCTCTTTAAGGAAAGAGGCCAAGTAGTTCAAAATTTCCTAAATGAAAAATAGTGCAGAAAGACACCAAATATTATTAAAGAAATGGCAAGATGAATATTAAAACAGGCATTTTGTGTTTGTAAATTTGATTTCTAGTATGTTTTAACAGCTATACTAAAACCCCATGGTTCAGTTAATAGTATTATACGTGTCCCTCAATAATAAGAAAATATCCTCAAAAAGAATTTCTAATTTACAAGCTTATGACAAGTTCAAGCTGCTGAGAAATTGGACTTGAAAGTATTTCTTAGAATGATAGAAGACTACTATTAACACTATCATAATTGTATACTTATTGCATCAAATCTGACATTCCAGTTTAATATATTTTGCTGAGAGAGCATACCAATTTATGGCTTCCTAGTGAAATCAAATCCAACCCAGACGTTTTCACTTTTCTAATATAATTCACTGCAAGGTTTTAAAGCTGCCATCTCTTTTCTTCCTTTTTTCCCAAGATTGATGCCCTGGCATTCGTTAATTCCACAAGAGCTCATAATGGGTCAATGAGTCAGTGGTGAGCACCTCCATTAACTGTATTAATTTACACTATGTCACCTTAATGACATTTTGTCACAGCTCCCTTTTCTGACATCTGCATAGCTATTCAAAAGTAATATAACAACTTTTGAAGGCATTAAGGAAAAATTAGTATAAGAACTTCAGTAAGTTGAATGTCATTGTTACCAAGACTATGCTAGAGGAGAGAAATTTTAAAAAAAAAAAGTAAAAATGAACTGGTCTGACTTCACTTGTAAGACCTCTCTTCAGAGAGGTCACTTCACCATGGCTCCTTCTCTGCCCAGCTTGCACTCATTACCGCAGGACAAGAACGATGCTAACAAAGAGAGAATAAAACCATTCCCTTTGTCCTAGTTCTCTTTTATACAAGACCTTAAATCTACGTTGAGATACTGCAGAAGCATTTTTCTTTAGAAATATAAAACCACTGGTCCTGAGACTGACATGTAACTATGGGAGATATCTGGTGATCAGAAGAATCAATAAAATTCTTAGGATAGAAGGTAAAGCCTAAAACTCTACCTACATACATAAATTAGGATGACTGACTTGTATGTGGGCTTGTGAGGGTGAATATTTGAATTAAGTTGAAAAACCGAGTTTCCGTTTCCTGATGATGTCAAGAGTCAAGAAAATCGTGTTAAGAAAAGCATTTTCACTTGAAAGTTTGATATAATATGGACACAGCTCTGAATTAAGATAATTAATAATCTTACATATGATAGAAAGCCTCAAAATATAGATAAGAATATTTAATTCACAGTTAAAATAGCTATTGAATGCTTTTTAAAGATACTGTGTTAGTTCTAGAAGCCTACTGACTCCCCATTTTGTATTAATTCTCAAAAAAATTATTAAATAAGAAATGGATTCTCTTCTTAATATCATTCATTGTAAATCAATTTAAATGATGGTTTATGGATCTTTCAGAGTTGGATTCCTTAGTGAAATCATAAGTTTGATAGAAGGAAAATATGGACCTTCAGAGTTTCATATAATAAGAATGCATGTTAAATTATCTTATTTCCAAATGTGAATACATTGTACATATAAACTAATATTCATTTATGCAAACTCTGACAGTAACAAATAAGACACATAAAGATGCTACAGATTACTTGGATCCATTCCTTTTGTTTTCTGCTTTGAAAGAAACTAAATAAAAGTTGTACTCATCCAATTTCTTATAGTTCAGTAACACTGTAACTGCCTTTAAAAAATGTTTGCAATAGATAAGCATAAACATGTAAATGACAATTTTTACTTTAATTCACTACATTTTGTTGGATTAAAACACTAAATGGAATGATACTATAACATTTGTATATTCAGCAGCATGAGTGGAAGTGATGAGAAAAATTTGAAGAGAAAGGGATTAAAATAAGAAACGTATACCTATGTAATAACAGGATCATTTAATCTCATCGGAAAAAAAATGAGGAAAAAACTGAAGAACAAATGTATTTTAATGTCTTGAATAAGACTATTTTTTAAAAAATGCAAGTCCACGTAAAGGAGCAATACATCTCTATATTCACCAATAGCTAAGCAGTAGCTACTGTCACAACGACTCCGCTCTCCGGCTGGCCCAGGACATCGTGTGTGTGTTGGTTTAATCTAATGTGTATTGTTGCATAGTATCCCCAGGCACAGTCAAGTAAAAGCTAAGGCTGTACAGAAAAGCCTACATTTTAAATGGGTCTTGTCATTAATGCTTTATTAATTGCCCCAGGCTACATAAACCCAAAGCTGGGCAAGCTATAACAATATGACACATTAAGGTCAAATCCAATTCCTGCTGTGTTTTCTGGAATGGGCCAAATATTGAGTTAACAGCAGGAAAGGCAATTTATGGGCTTTTCTTCCCATCTACCGATTATTTGATCTAAATTAGATGGGAATTTTTTAAAAATAACAAAAACATCTTAACTGAAATAATATAAAAGAATCTTGAGTCATTTTCTGTGCACTCAAAATTATTTTCAAGTCCCTCTGAGGTGTACCACATAATTTTTAAAATATGGAACAAAGCTGCAGAATAAAGTATCTTAGACACCCACTTAAACAAATCAAAATTTCAACACATTTTGAAATTAATATCAACAAATAAAAGAGCTTACCTTTACATCAGAAGTATCTCTCTGACTAGTTCTCCAAGACCTTGCAACAGACGAGAATGTTCGATTAGGATGGTCAAATTTTCCATCATTTGCATTGAGGAAGAAGGTTGTGAAAGGTTCCTAAGCAAAACAACAACAACAACAACAATCAAATCAATAATTTGACCCTTCTGAACACCACTGTTCTCTTTCTTTGTGAAACACGACTTTTTGGAAACCCTTTGGAGGTGGAAACCCTTTTGATGCTGTGTTTTGAGGCAGGATCCTGCCAGGAGGGGCTGGTCTGAGTCACTCTGGGGCGCTGAATCACCTGTCACTCTCCAACCTTGGCAGCTTACGTTGCTTCTTGCCCTTCAGTCTTCTGATTTATAAAATGATGGAGTTCTAGTGCTCTGTGACTTTATGACGAATGACTTTGCATTAATGTCAACATATAACTCAGATCTTCTTTCTCATAACTAAGGCCACACATAGTAAGACTGCAACAAGAAAATCTCTCCGACATTATGGTGTGAAAATTGCATAGGGGATGTCCATCTTAGAATACCTGAAAGTCTCCTAAACTTACTATATGATGACCTGATGTTTTTAAAATGCAAATCTCTTTGACTGAAATCCTGCCATAGCTTTCAGAGCTTTTAGGAAAAAGCAGAAACTACTTGATTTGTCCTAAGAGAGCCTGAGTGATATGGAACCTGCTTTAACTCTTTATCTCTTGCCATTCCCTTATTCACATCCTAAGGTCTTGCCATGTTGGTCTCATTTCTCGTCCTCTGTATGGGATATTCCGTCTGCCTGCTACAAACTTAACCCTCTACCTTATCATCCTGACTTGGTTAAGCTCTTCTTATCCTTTAAGTCTCAGCCCAAGATGTTGTTTCCTTCTGAAAGACCTCCCTTAATTTGCCAAGCCCTCCAGTATGTTCAAATGGCAACATATATTTCCTCAAACACATCCCTGAAGAATTTGTGACTGTTTTTTGAAACTGATTTTTAAACATTTTTTACTGAGGTATAGTTGCTTTATAATGTTGTGTTAATTTCAGCTGTAAAACAAAGTGAATACACATGAATACACTATGTATACACATATCCCCTCCCTCCAACCCCATCACTCCATCCCACCCCACCCCTCCATCCCACATCCAGGTCATCACAGAGCACTGACCTGAGTTCCCTGTGCTATACAGCCGCTTCCCACTAGCTGTTTTACACAGGACAGACGTCAATCCCAATCTCTCAACTCATCCCCTCTTACCCTCAAGTCCACCTTTCTGTTCTTTATGTCTGTAGCTCTGTTCCTGCCCTGCAAATAGGTACACCAGTACCATTGTTTAGAACAGGAGATGGTGAAGGAAGCTTGGCATGCCACAGTCCACGGGGTCGCACAGAGCTGGACATGACTCAGCAACAACTACTACCAGATTCACTGTTTTATCTCCAGCACTTAGAAGAACTCCTGGCACACCCAAGCTGCTCAATGTATTAATATAATCTGTTGAAGGAATGAATGAAATGACACTAAAACAAACCAGATAGGACTAGATCAACTCTGGTCCTTCTAGTATTCTGTGACTATTACCTTACTGCAACATGGTGTCTGTCATTAAGTACATATTCCCTTAGCAGGAAACCTAGGAATAACGTTATCACAAGGTCCTAATGCATTTAAATTTACTGCTTTTTTGTTATGTTACTCATCTTAACAAAGATGAGAATATATTTACTTTCCTATGGTTCAATCCCTCTCTCTTAAATCTAGGATAAATTACATGTCACTCCTAGGTTTAATAACATTAAGAAATCTTTCCTACATATTTAGGTTTTTTTCCCCTTAATATATAATCTCTGTTCATTCTTTTATATCTGTAAAACACACTCTGTCTCTTTAAACTCCTCTTTTTGCCACTAGTCATAAAGTCCAGTTGTCAGGCAACAGCTATAAATATTTATATGCCTCAGTATCTTCCTGAAATTAAGTATGGCTGGATGTCATCAATTTTATAACTTTGTAATGTGCCACCAATTTTCATGTCTAATACTGAATGACAGAAAAGCATGGTGAAAGAGATAAGATGGAGAATGATATAACACTATATAGGTAAAGAGGGTACTACTGATTTACCTCAAAATCAAATATGCATACAGTAGGTCTATATTGCTGTTTAAGATTTTAAGTGATTTGACAGACAAATAGATGCCACCAAAAATAAGTTAGGAAAAAAAGTTTAGGGATGTCTTTCACTAATTAATTTGCTTTGTAAATTTTAGAATCCCTATTAAATATAAGGTAGTCAATGCAGCATATCTTATCACTAAATTAAAGTGGGGATAGAAAAATTCTAGAAATAGCAACAGTAAACTGAATGAAATGACAGATCTAAGTTTGAATCTTGGTGGAACCATTTACCTCTCTTGAGCAAGTTACTTAACCTCAAATAGGTAGCAATACAAAGTAACCATATCTCAGTTCCTTCATCTGTGTTAACTGGGAATAACAATACCTGGCAGGTAATTCAGATTAAATAATATGGATAAAGTCTGTAGCATCAGAGATGACAGAGTGGTGACGATGACTACCAGCTTCATGCCTGGTGTCAAGTACCCATGTTGGGCTTCAGCAAGATTGACAGTTCCTTAGGTCTTATTCATCCCTCTATCCTTAGAGCCAAGCATGGTGCTTGGTTCACAGTTAGTGTTTAATTAATATTTTTGAACATACATAAATATACAAGGTATTGCTGGGAGAAGGAGTATGGTTGGATAAGAGTAAGATATAGTTTTCTTAGTCAGTTTTTAACTACTAGTTTGACCAAAAAGTTGCATCTTCAGAATCCACTTCTTCGTTATTCTAGGATGCTGATGTAAGGGCATTCATGTTTTCTTTGTAGGTAGTACGCAAAGAATAACTTAGAGGGATCTGAGTTGTCTTCATGATTTTTAACCTATTATAGATGTGAGTGAAGACATGAAGTGTCTTACTTCTTATCATCAACCACTAAAAGCTGATCTCTACCCTAGCCTAAATTATCAAACTCTTCCTTATTAGTTTTGAACCCTTAGTGAAGTCATGCCAAGAATAAGTGCAGATGGGCACAGTGAAAATAAACCTGAAATTGAAGAATTATTTACTTCTGGTCATGAAATTTATGAACCTGGTTGCACCCAAAGCACAGAATACTGAAGAATTCCACATTTTTTTGCTGTTCCACATAGGCTTTAAAAAGATCTGGTTAACAACTGTTTGAGGGTCACACACTACTTTACTGATATATATTCTCATTATTTCCAAAGGCCTCCAGCTGCTACAGCGGTAGAGCACTAACAGAAACGAAGAACCTATTTGTTTATAAGTGGGTAATGATCTTTCAAGTCCTGCTCACTAGAGAGATTACCTTTTTTCATGTGTTTCCATATTACCTTCAAGGTGCAGTACAAGGACTTTCTGTTTCATTTGATTCATGCTTGATTAACACAGAGGATCAAGTGCTACCTTAAGGTTAAGAAACTTTAATATTAATTCAACTGACACATGTTGATCAAACCACTTTCAATGTGTGCGTGCTCTGTCACTCAGTCGCGTCTGACCCTTTGTGACCCCACGGGCTGTAGCCCGCCAGTCTCTGTCCATGGGATTCTTGAGGCAAGAATATTGGAGTAGGTTGCCACTTCCTCCTCCAGGGGATCTTCCTGACCCCAGGATTGGACCCATGTTCCTTTCTTTCTATGTGTATATCATCATATTTGGTATTTTATCATTGTTCTAGAAAATTTTTGGCTTTGGAGATAAGGTGGAAAAATAAATAAATGTTAAACAGAAAATTCAGAAATTAAAATACTTGTACTTGGTTGGGCTTTAAAAACTTCAGGTTCTGTCCTGCGGTATAAATGGCTGATGGCAGACTTCTTTCTCCTGATTACATCTACCTTAACCTTCCAACTCTTCCTTGGGGCCAGAAAGTCAAACTGGCCTGTCCTACATGAGAAGTACCAGCCCAACTGAATTATGTCATAACCTTCAGTGCCTGCAAGGACACTAACAACCTGTCCTGCCTTCCAATGATGTGAAAAGAAAGTGAAAGTGTTACTCGGTCAGTCATGTGTGACTCTGCAACCTGACGGACTGTTGCCCACCAGGCTCCTCTGTCCTTGGAATTCTCCAGGCAAGGATAGTGGAGTGGTTTGCCATTCCCTTCTCTTGGGGATCTTCCCGACCAACGACTGAACCCAGGTCTCCTGCATTGCAGGCAGATTCTTTACCACCTGAGCCAGCAGGGAAGCCCTCCCATGATCTGATCGCAAACAACTCACCCTTCCCGGGCCATCCAACTCTGCCAACTCTTCCCCTCTGCTCTTTAGACAAGTCCTTTATTTTTCTGTCTTACATGACTTCTGCTCAGTCACCCATAAGAGTCTTTTTTACACCCCTCTCAGCTCTTCTCTTCTTTCTCTTCATTTCATTTGAAACAAACCTCATTCCTTGTTAATAGTGCCGGGACATAATTTTATCAAAGAAAAGATATATATATACCTTGAAGTTATATAAAGCATAATAAAGACCAAAGGGAAGGGAACTAAAGTTATGAGCACTTTTTGTGCATGGCACTGTATTATCTCAGTTAACTAAATCAATCATCCCTATTATCCTTTAAGTGGGTGTAATTATCCCTGTTTTATATCTGAGAGAGATCACACTCTCTGAAATGGAGGAATCATTGTTTACACTGTGCTGTGTATAACTTCAGAATTTTATTTTCTCCCAGTGTTTTCAAAAGAAATCAGAAGTATCTTTTGAATCTTCAGAAACCTATGTGTTTACCATACACCAGGCTCTTGTTTAAGAATCCTCATCTTTCTCGAAGTAGACATGCATTGCCCGTAAGCATCAGGAATCAAGAGAAACAGGATGGCAATATTCTATTCAATAGCATTACATTTTGGTCTTAATTACAATGCTTGCATTAAGTGCTTTTACTATTTTTTTCCCCCACTACAAATATATACTGCTGAAGATATATTACAGTTTAAATAGGCTTTTGGGTAGGCTTTCAACTCATAATTTACGAAGTAAGTCCCAAATTCTAAACAATTTATTTATCAATTCACTTGCTGTACAACCTCTTTAACCTCCTAAAAATTATGATTAAATGTTTGACAATGGAGTTTTGAACAGGTAGGTTGAATATACTGAATCTGGAACTTGAATAGCTTACTAAAGGATAAAAGAGTCCGATTTAACTACTTCATTGAATATGTTTTATATTCAGGGTAAGATTTAAAGCAAAAATATTCTAAGTAAAATGTGTCCTTTTATACTGTTTAATATCTGAACAAACTCCAAAACTCTGTAACAGTTTATTCATCATTTGCCCAACAGCAGGTAGCAGAGAAACAGCTTTTTCAGAAATTTGCAATTTAGACAAGTGACTTTACTGGTGGTGTGTCTAAAATAATACTTTTAATTTTAAGTAATGAGGTATGTAGCTAATTTGCATTTTAAAGCAACTATTATCAATGTCATACTAAATATATTGACTGAAACTAATAATGAAGTTAATGACTTTGGGTCTAGCAGGCTTGAAAGATAAAGAACAGATATTTATTTTAATCTGTATTTTATTTTTATGAACAAATTTTCAATGACACAGATTTTAATGTATTTTCTACTTCATAAACTCCTTGAGATGGGAGTGAGGAAATCACAATTCCCTGGGCCATTAGGTTAAACACTTAGTAAGCTATTAGACTGTGATACTTCTATTTATAACAGTACAACTTGAGATGCATTGGCTAAATGAGTTCCCATAAAAGCAACCCTATACATTTCTTCTTTCAAGGCAGTAGCCAGAGGTCACATGTGACTACTGAGTACTTAAAATATGGTGAGCTCAAGCTGAATGTGCTACAAGTAGAAAATACATCTGGATTTCAAAGAATACCCCCCAAAAAAGTGGGTATCTCATTTACACTTTTTAGATTGATTACATGTTGAAATTAAACAACATTTTGGATCTACTGGGCTAACAAATATATTTATTAAACTAATCTCACCTGTTTCTTTTTACTCTTAAATGTGGCTACTAGAAAATTTAAATTATAAACGTAAGTGGCTTGCATTACATGTCTGCCGTTCAGCACAGCTATAGACAATACTAAAAGGGGATGTGTAGGATAAACAAGGATAGCATTTCTGCTGTACCCCTACAGAGAGTCATATTTGTACTCCATTTCTCTAGAATAAGAAATAAATTTAGGGATGGATTAAAATTTATTATTTTATAAAATGTTTAGTTTATCAGGGATAGAAGAGTGTTAACTTAAATCAAGCTGCTGATAAATAAGTATTTTTATAAATCCATCCTTAAATTCTTAGAAAACTGATTGTAGACTTATTTGATTATACAAAATGCCATTGAATATCATTTTATATATCTCAAAATACTATAATACATAATATGTATAATATACTCTCATATAATTATCAAACCAACTGACTTGATAATGGTTTTTTTCAGAAATGGTTCCTGACTTGTTTTTAATCCCAAAATGCCCTAAAAGGTGTCTTATGCCCCCCACTCCCCAGGGTGATGGCTCACTACAGCAATAATTGTTTCTTGCTTTTTGTTTTCTTGTCAGTCTATTTTTGAGCTCAGATAAAATATTTTACATTTACTGTAAAGGACACTAGCTGTTTGAGATCTTGACTGGTGAATTTTTGGGTTTCTGTGTTTAGTTTTGACCTGTAGTTGAAATCGCAGCTATAAAGTTCTCTTTATATATGTGTGACTGTAATTCAGAAAAGCCTTTACCTCTTTATACGAGTGTCTAGTATTTTCTTACACCTGGAGAGAATTAATAAGTTATTACAACCCATAAACTAAAGGTGTTTTGTTCTGATTGGTTTATAGTGGTAAACAGACACATATAAATCTAATATTCCCCCCAAATTAACAGAAAATTTAAAAAAAATAGAACTTCTCTAAAAGTCCTAGAGTTTAAAAAATACTTAAATGGCTAGCTCAGAAACATTTTTATAAAAGGATCCAAATTTACATAGTTAAGAGAATTTTTGAACAAATTAGACAAACAACTTTGGTCTAAAAAAGTTTTATGTCTTTCCCTTTAGTTTATAATTATAGACTTTGTTTTTTAAAATAAGATTTGTTTGTTTCCTTACAGACTAAGCTAAACTTTAATTTCTTATGTTGGTTTAGGATTATGAAAAATATAAAACAGGCATCCAATTAAACTGAATCACAATTCTGAGAAACTTTTTTCATAACAGTAATTATTTATAGTATATCACCTACCATTAATTTACAAGTTACCTAAAACATACATACCTAAAACATACAAGTTACCTAAAACATGTTTGTAACGAGTTCAGTTTGCTTGAGGAAACTCTCCAAACCAAACTGTTCTTAGGCAGTGGGGGAAAAAACCCTTGTCAGTTGGAGATGCATTCCCTACTTTGTCAATGTGTTTCCGAGGCAAATCAGCCTCATGCAACAGAGTATTCTGAAGTATATATTGGTAAGAGGAGATAACATTATTGATTGTATTGATTCAGAGATTGACTCCACAGTCATTTATAGTTTAAAAAATATCTGGCCATCTGACTCCAGTAACTGCTCTCAACTAGACTAGATTGGAGAGGGCAAAACCAAGGCAAAGAGATTTGTTAAGATTTTTTGCAATAATATAGATGGGAAAGAATAGGAACCTGAACTAAGGAAGTGCCAGAGTTAATAGAGAACAGAGATAGACTGTAGATGGTAGAACCTATCCCATGTGATGCCAGGCTGGATGTAAGGGGCTGGCAAAATGGAGAAAATATCTAGGTTAGGTAACTGGGTGCGATAAATGCAGATTATTTAGGTAAGTAATCAGTAGGAAACACCCCTGCATATTTATGAGGGAGATGAGAAGTTTATTTCTGGAAATGCTGTTTATAGTATTGTGAGGTGTTCAGGTAGAAAAATATAGAGAGACACAGAAATAAGCAAATATATTCATATCTTAGAAATACAGGTTAGGAGCCCAAGAGAAATGTCTGCAATGAAGAGAGAAGCTGGCAGTCATTAGTTTAGAACTGAATGATATAGTCCAGATAACATACCTAGAAAAATCCTGGGGAACAAAAATATTGAGAAAAAGAAATCTGAGCATGAGATAGGGCAGGACAGTTAGCATGACAGAAGGGAAACCAGCAGAGGATATTGTCAAAGGAGCCATGAGGTGGGAGAAACTTCGAGTGGGAGGAAATGAGCAAAGGTGCCACGTGCTTCAGATACGCCATGAAGCTCTGCCACGTAACCCGTGACCTTCACAGAGACAACTCCGTGAAGTGGTGGGAGTGGAACCTGCATCAAGCAGGATAAAGACTGAATGTGGTGACAGAGACCAGCACAGTGCAGGGCTGGATAGTAGAGGCTGTGCTTCTGTACATTGGACTATGCAGGGGGGGGCATGGGAAGTCACTGAAGAGTGGGTGGGGGCTGGGAGGAGGCATGTATGAATGTGCATATGTATGAAAGTGTGTGTACGTGCAAACTGCATGCTTGGTCACTCACTTGTGTCCAACTCTTTTATGACACCATGGACTGTAGCCCGCCAGGCTCCTCTCTGTCCATGGGGTTCTCCAGGCAAGAATACTGGAGTGGGTTGCCATTTCCTCCTCCAGGGGATCTTCCTGACCCAGGAATTGAACTCCTGTCTCCTGTGTCTCCTGCATTGCAGGCAGATTCTTAGCCTGCTGAGTCATGTGTAAGTATGTATTTAAAAGACTGGAGAGATTTGAACTTACTTATGTCTTAGGAGAAAGACAAAGTAACAGAAAGTAGTCTCCAAAAACATTAAGAAAATTGTTTTTTAAAAATACACAACCTCAGAAGCAAGACTGGGAGGGCTGGGAAGAATGCTAGCTGGTGACAATCAGTGTGAAAGGAAACACTGGATATTAAGGACACAATCTGGGAGTCTGGTTCCTTTTGTAAATGGTTTAGGCTTAAGAAACTCTATCTTTCTAACCCAATTTTGCAAATAAGGAAACTCATTAACAAAAAGGAATCAGGTTTTGCTAGAGCTTGGCATCTTTCATTTCTACTTCAGTGGTCTCTAATCTCTGCTTAAAACTAACAAGTATACTTGGTTTTTATCTAATTTCCTTATATTAAACACCCTGAGCTACTGAAGGCAAACTGTGACTGGATGAAGGCACTCACGATCCGAACAAGCCAGGACAAGGTGGACGCCGCCGTGGAGTAGTGTGTGCTGTAGTGGCAGGGAGGGCTCTGGTCCTCTTCCCAGGTCTCGTAGCGCTCCGCGTAAAACACAGCCCTCTTTGGGTTCAAAGCACCGATCGGCTGTGAGAGAGAAAAAGAAGCGCTGTGGTTAATACAGTCATATTAGATACTCAACATTACAACTCTTTACCTGAAAGTATTTACTATGAATTCATTTTAACGATAGAATATGTGTTATTTTGCATTATATTTTTACCAAATTTGATTTTGATATCGACATTTGATTTCGATAATCACTACATTTGCTAAAATTAACTCAAGAAATGATTTATGTATATAGGGTTTCTAAGTTTTATTGAAAATTTCCATAAAGTAGATTGTCAGAGATGAGCCAGTTTAACCTGTTAAGGCAAAACCAGTATTTTGGTGTTATTTTGCCTACCTAACCACAGCCATGATGAATATTTAGCTTGATTACAGGAAATCAAGTGAGAAAGTGAAGAAGCAGTTGACCATGTGACCATCACATTAGAGAAAATCTTGTCTTAATAGCCAGTTAACCAGAGTGTGAAAGATAGTAGTCACACATATGGAAACCCTGTTGGAATGATAGTCCCATTCTGTTATTATACAGATGTAGCAAGTATTCTTTTTATTAAATTCAACTGGAAATCTGAGGCTGATGGAAATAATCTGGACAATTCAGATTCCCTGGAAAGCATTCTGTTAAGGCCACTAAGTCTTGTCCTAGCAACACTACTACACTACTGATTACGACATTAATCCCTACAGTGGAACACGTGGTAAAATGCTCAGGATACTATATGTGTCTATATATATATATATTTTTTTTTTTTTCCAACAAAGCATATGTTAGTTGGACTATTGTCTCAAACTTCCCAGGACACCACTTATCAAGATTTTCTAACATTTAATACTCACGGTTTCAAATAGCACACTTCCTTAGCTTAAGTTTTTGTCTGATTTTGACTTAATGGCACATGGAATCCATTCATATAAAACCTAATAGCTACACTGCTTTGTTTTAGGTTGCATACTGTAAGAAATAAAAGTTTCTATAGAAAGCAAAAGATGAATAATATGTAAAATATATAATTCCTTTATTTCAAACTGTAATATTACTAGTTAGCTATGAAGTTCCCCCCAGGGCTTAATTTTAACAAGAGAAGTAGTAGAAAATTAGTGTTTCAATGGAAGACAAATAATGTTACACGAGAGAGCAAGATTAATAAATTGCTTGTAAGCTTTTTCTTTGGGTCCCCGGGGACTAATTCAAACAATACAATGATGTCAGCAGTTAAAAAGTCTTTCAGAATTTTCATAATAAACTCTTATTTTCAAGGATTCTTTTCCTGAATATTAAAACTATTTATAAATTATGTTCTTTTTCCTTAAACTTAATTATGACTTAACAAAGACTAAATAATTATTTAATGTTTTCAAAACTGGCTTAAATATATATTTCAAATATTCTAAGGCTTAAACCTTATTCTCTGCTAAATGTTACTATCTCTCAAAAATTTTTTACTTGCATACAGAAAGGCAATGTAATTTCATTAAATGTCAGCAAAATATTAATAATATTTGACATAAATATATAATTTTTTGGTAAAAGGGTAATTATTACAATAAAATTAATGTTGAATTCTATTACAAATTAAAATAGTAAGTTGTTCATTTAAACTGGCCTATATATTTTATGGTATTCCCAGGTGATAAAGTGATAAAGAATCTGCTCGCCAAAGCAAGAGATGTGGGCTCAATTCATGGATCAGGATGATCCCCTGGAGGGGAAAATGGGAAACAACTCCAGTATTTTGCATGGAAAATTCCATAGAGAGAGGAGCCTGGCAGGCTACAGTCCATGGGGTTGCAAAGAATCGGATATGACTGAGCATGCATGCACATATTTTATACTTTTTATATGTGCAGATAAGTTTTTCTAACTCAATATTATAAATTATAATATTATTTTTTCAGAGCATTTAAATGTTGAGTACTTTATTTTGTCTTGAATAGGCTTATAGATCTTTCATATGCATAAAATGTCTACACAATCTTTCAGGATTGACCTTACCTGACAAGGCAAGGCCTCATAAAACCAAAACCCACAAAAAGGCCTCATGGCCCTTCTTCTAATCTTTTCCAGGCTTCCCTCAACTACTTGAAAGTAGAAAAAATAAAAATAAATCTGTACGCTTTTAATTTTATTCAAGTTCCATCAAAGTCATTTTATTGGAGTGTTTTACAGAATAATATGTTGTAGGAAACAGCTGCCCTATATGAAAGCTTATATATGCCTCCATGAGTAATTTCTTAAAATACATGTCTACTGTTGAATTTTCATCTGATGCATTTAGAAATAAGTTTTATAAAACAAGTATAAATAGTTTGGTTTGTACTTATTATTTTTCTATTATTTTACTTCAATCAAGAAGCAATACTTTATTTAAAGGAAAAATATCTGTTTGGGAAATGAGAGTTTCATCACAGATGACATATCTTCTTATGGGATCCAAATAAATCTATCTTTCTGTCTATCTCTATCTATCCATCTATTTGGCCTACGTACCAAACTATCTACCTACTTACTTACCTACCTATCATCAATCAATTATTCACCTACCTATATCTACCTACTGAGTCACTCACTTGTCTGACTCTTTGTGACTGCACAGACTGTAGCCTGCAAATCTCTCTCCATGGAAATTTCCAAGCAAGAATACTGGAGCAGGTTGCCATTTCCTCTTCCTGGAGCCTGACCCAAGGATTGAACCTACATCTCCAGCGTCTCCCACATCCGCAGGTGGATTCTTTACCACTGCATCACCTGGGAAGCCCATATACCACCTACTTAACCCATGTATAAAGTGATAAGGCTGTAAATTTGTTACCCTCTTAAAAATTGAGCAACTAATGCAATGTCAATACCACTTGGATTTAGTAAATGAGGTAGAATTATGATTAAAAAAAACAAAACACCTAAAACTACACTTAATGAAATTTATACATTATTCTGCAATCTTTTTCAATTTTCATCATAACTACCATAGCAACAATCAGTTTTATTTTCTCTCAAACAGTAGGCATTTAGATATAGCCACCTCTGGGCTTTTCAGGGATTCTCATATGAAATTTATAACTGAAAGTTTACAGCTTGCTCTAGATTTGTTATTTTGTCCTTGTGAGTTTGTATATCACAAGTTGATACTTAACATATTGCAGAAAATTATGGTAACAATGCAAAATTAAAAAATAATTTTACCTCTATGACACTTTAATATTATAATTCAAATTCTAACACTGCTATAAAGCCTGTATAGCTTGCAAAAAGCACTATTTTCAATATAAAACTGATGGAAATTACATGCATAACATTACCATGTCTACATGAAACACTATTAAATTTACTGAAGAAATGCTGTTGAGGATTTTCTCTGCTCTCTCACTTAATTTACCTGTTTTGAATACTGAGAGAGAGATTTGTTTCAGGAACAGTATCATAAAAAGCTTTGTTTCCTGATAAACTATGATTTTTATTGTATGGGACAAAATTCCTGACAGATACTTCTGGAGATTTACATTACTAAAGGCTCTGAGAAATATTACTGTAAATAGCATTGCTTAATTTTGCTCATTCCTGTGTCTATTTTTACTAGAACCTCATCTTTCTTTCGTTTTGCTGCTACATGCAATAGAAGTAGTGTCCGTTAAAATGTACTTTGAAAAATTCTGGTTAGAATAACTATAGTATATATTTTTGATTGTTAACTTGTTTTTTTTTTTGGTTTCCTTTTCCTATTTTCTTTTCCTTTCTGTTCTCTTAGGCTTTATCAATGTTTCCCTATTTTATGAAACCTTACAAGTTTTATCAAGTCTTTTATACAGAGCAGATACATAAATAAAATAGGTAAAAGTGAGGAATAAAAATGATCTAGATTAAAAATACTTATTGAGTGACTGTTACTATATGAGACACTAAAAGGACTCTTAGTAGAGAATATAAAAGTCTGAGCCTAGAGTTGATATCAATAACTTTAAATAATGTGGATTGATGAGGTATGGTCAATACCATTAAAATAGCTTAAAAATAAAACAAAATAAGAATAAAAAGGACTTTCAAGGAAAAATGAGAGGTCCAGTTAAATTAATAACACTGAATTCTAGCATATCTAAATAACTTGAAAATACTTATTATATTCACAGCATTAGGATTCTATTTATATATAAAAATGTTTAAGAGTCCACTATTGTTGCTACAACTGCTAATATAATACCATGTGTAAGATTGATTTTCAAAAGTCTCTGAGGTGGACATGGTATTTGTTAAGAACCTAATTTCATGACATGGAAGCAGGTGCCTAGGTCTCCACACTTCACACAACACTGCACTGCTTTTTCATTGCTAAATATGAAATTCTGATCCTGATGTCATTTTTTTTTTCTAATGGATCCTCAGAAATGGAATGAACCTTACAGGCCTAGTAATTCTACTCCCTTAACGTTATAGATGAAGACAACGAAGAAAAGTCAAATCGAGATCACATTGCTGGCTGATAGCTGTATTTTACAGAATGAGCTGAAACTGTGTGCTGGATATAGCTTAAAGCTGGGTAGAACTGACTGATTGGCTTCTAAGTATTCTTTTCAGTTATTAGCTCAACATTCAACACAACTGAGCTTCTAACATAATCTAGTTTATCTTGTTATCTCTCATTATAGTAACTGAGGGTTTGGAAACCCTTAGAAGAAGCTTCAAGAATTCCTGCCTTTCTTGTTTTATCATCATTCTTAAAATTCTCAGTTATGACAAAATAGAAATCACACTTACAGACAATTCTGTGCTCAAGTAAATTCCCTGACTCTGTTCTTATCTGACCAGGGAATTTCAAACTATTCTTCTGGAAGCAGCTAAAATTTTATCTGTAAATCTCTACATGTTTGTAGCAGCTCATCTGGTAATGGTGAGGCAAGTTCATAACTTTTCTTCCCCCCCCCCCCACAGAAGATAAGCCCTTCAAGGGAATGCCCTATGTTTAATCTGTCTCTGTATCCTCTGAGCCAGGTGTCTAATACAGTATCTGGCTGTATTTAGATGC